CCATTTGGTTTTAAGTGGAAACTGTCCCTTTAAATTTCGAGATCTGTGCTGATGCGTAGTAGAACCCTCCAGGGGTGGGGGTGGGTGTCCACTCACTCAGGCATCCCCTCTAGTCACCAGAATGGAGGTGCACAGATGAGAGGTGGTCCCTTTCTGTCTGTTCCTTTATAGCACTCCCATATTTGATGGCCAATATCTAAATTCCCCGTCCGTATCAACTCAGTGCACTGAGGAAATAAGCTTGACCCTTGATATGAAGAATCCTTCCATTTAGGTTGGAATTTTGAGTAACTGCATCCATAAGCTTAGGTCCAGTTCATCAAATTGGAGCAATTTACACTTAGTCACAGTATCAAGCATCTTTATCTTCATCTGGTTGAGTCTGATCAGCTAGTTTTCCAAGGTGGGTGTAAGTTTGAGAGTTCACACAAGCCTCCCTGCATTTCAGACAAACTGGCTGCTTCACTCTCAGCTCTAGTCCCCAGTGGTTAGGTCAGTGCCCATGGGCTCAGGAGTTCACACATTTCTATAATCTACAGACAAGCAAGCCCTTCCTCTTCTCAACATGTCAAAACCAACCCATGTCTTCATTGCTGAATTTCCTCTACTTCCACTTACAAGTAGACCAGGGTGTTCACTAGCAAGCATACCAGACTGCTAGCAGATTACCTTTGAGTTTAAGTCTTAGAAGGGGGTTTTCTGTCCCTGATGGGCTGACTTTTCCTGCCTTGATGTCTCCAAAGCAAACAGCTTGCTTGATATTCTAACAGCCAGAGCTTTATTTCCACTGGTGTTTCTTTCAATAAGGATCTTCTGATTTTTACATGTTGATCTTGTACCCTGCCATTTTGCTGAATTCATCTCTTTCTGTTGGTTACTATAAACCATTCTCTGGGCATTGCTTTTGCTGTGTCCCAAATATTTTGGTATTCTGTATTTTCATCCTCATTTGATGCAAGGATATATTTTTTTTTAATTTAATTTTTTATATTACCAGTAGTTTTTAAACAGGATGTTACTCAGTTTCCATGTGTTTGATATTTTTCTCTTGGTATTACTAGGTCTTATTGTTGATTTCTAGCTTCATAGTATT